TGTATATATATATATATATATGCATAAATATATAAGAGTATAAAAGTATAGCAATGTAATAGCAAAAGAAAGAGAGAAATAAGAGATAGAGATTCCTCGGTGCGGCAACAAACGAAGCATATTAGAGACCGGGATATAGTCGGTGATGGACCGACTCGAGGATTTCGGCTGGTAGCAGATGGCCACGTGCCTTTGCCGTATAGCTTCCGCTGTCAGCCGTCAAGTTTCATCTTACGGGACGGGAATTGCTAGTCTGTTTGGTCAGCCTGTACGGGTCTAATCGAACGGGTTTAATCGAACGGGTCTAATCGGACGGATGGACGGGACGTGGTGCGGATTTTGTTGTTGTTGTTGTATTTATTGATATTTATTAACGTCGGGCGGGTAGCAGGCGAAGCCTGCCCCCCTGGGACTTTTTATAAAGTACGGCGACGTGCTAAGCTAAGGAGTTACATACAAGAAGGCCCTAGAAAGCAATTCAAAGTTCTGCAGCGAGAGCGACTGTCGTCTGCGCCCTCCCCTTACGGATAGGATAGATCACAGTAAAAAGAGGTCTCTCGCCAAAGGAACACCACAAAAGAGAGTTAGGCAGAATGTGGTGCGGACGGTCGAGTAGATGGACGATTATCGATCAATTAGCTATTAGTCAGCCAGTCGGCAGCTAGTATTACCAACGGGTAAGCGGGGCGAGGAGGCCTAGAGCGGGCCAAGGCAGGGCGGGGCGCCAAGGCTGGGCATAGCGGGACGGAGCAGGGCGGGACGGAGCAGCTGTCGAGTTAGCTAGCTGCCTTGCCCGTATGCTAAATCGGTCGAGCATCGGACCAACGTTGAACCTTCTAATCCTTCATTTCCTTTCGTAAGTATTTAAAAACAGGCGAGCCGGAGGGCAAGTGTCGGGGGTGCTGAATCATGAATGGAGCTAAATAGGTGAGTCAGTCGTAGAGCAGACAACGAGATGCTGAATCGTAAAGAGAGCTGAATGGGTGAGTCAGTAAGGCAATTGACGAAGATGCTGAGTTGTAGATGGAGCTGGGTGGGTACCGGTAGATGATGAGTACAGAAGATTAAGCAGATGGATAAGCCGAAACCGATATTTTTGGTTTGCGAATCGACAAGTAAATAGTTGGCTGCACGGGTTAGAATTCAGCGAAAATCTACCCGTGCTACCTTAAAGGTCGGGAGTTGCTTCGCCGACCCAACTCGGACGAGGCGTCGGCGCAATAAGTCCTTTAGGATCTTGCTTTGATTTTTCAGAAAAGGATAAGTATTGCTCGGCTGCCGAACAGTTGCGACGTGCAATCATTAATTAAAGCTTTGCATTAACGAAGCAGCAGTCGGAAGGGCGAGCGACGAAGAGAAAAGGTGCTGTTATGCGGCACAGAACTGCAGTAGAAAATCCGACCTGGCGCAGCAAAGTCGGCACGACCAGAGTGGAACACTTACTTTCGTCTTTATAAAATTCATAGAAACTCAATTCCTCGTCATATCGTAGTTATTCTTGTATCGAAAAATACACCCTGCTGATATTAATAATAACTGATCAAAAAAATGCGGATTCCATCTGGTTCTCTTGTTAAGGTGTTGGATTGAAATGATGAGAATTCGTACTTTTTGATGTTCTAGGTCCGTGCGCTATCTAAGCTTGGCGTGTACAAGCCGAAGAATCGGAAAATCGGACTTCCTCTTAAAATACATTTCCTTTACCATCAATTATTATTTTATAAAGACTTCCCTGTATGACATTATAGAACTTTCAATTATCTTCTCGTGCATCATTTAATTTTCACGATTGGAATTATGATTGTTGAGAGAATCAGCTCAAACAAGTAATAATTGCCTCAAGTATTATTGCGACCCGGCGCAGCAAGGTCGGCACGTCCAAAGGAAAGCGCACTTATTTTCGCCCTCTTGAAATCAATAGAGAATCAACCACTTATTGTGTCGTAACTACTCTTGTATCAGAGAGTAGGCTTTATTAATTTCAATTATATTTGGTCAGTACACTTCTGATAATATTTAATTATTTATCATGGTGTTGAGGTGAACTAGTAAAAACATTACTTTTTGATGTTCTAGGCCCGTGCGCCATCTGAGCTTGGCGTGTCCAAGCCGAAGAACACGAAAATCAGATTGACTTCTTTTAAAAATACATTATCTTTACCACAAATAATTATTTGATATATATCTTTTTTTACACTATAAGACAACCAGTAACTGCTTACTCGCGCATCATTTTCTTTTTACGATTGGATTTATAATTATTAAAAGAATCAGATCGGACAAGTCATAATCGTCGGTTAAAGAAAACGATTCGCCGCGGCCTTATCGGCATCATTGAAGCGAGCTACTTACTATCGTCCTTATTAAATCGATAGAAAATCAACCACCCATCGTGTCGTAATTACTTCTATGCAATAAAATACACCGTATTAATTTTGATTCAAATCAACTAAGACCATCTTGATTACATATAGTTGCATAGTTAAAGTGTTAGATTTAAGTAATGAAAGTCGAATTTCACGACATCACAAGTCCGTGCGCTATCCAAGCTTGGCGTATATCCAAGACGAAGAACACGAAATCAGACTCCTCCAAAAACATTTTCTTTACCACCAATTATTATTCAATAATAACTCGTCCTTATAATACAATATAAATCATAGTTAAATACTCGTGCATCATTTTTTTCTTACTATTGAATCTGTAGTTGTTGAGAAAATCAGATCGGACAAGTAATATTTGATTGTTTAAAAGTAGAGACAGAGTTCCGCGATATTTGCACGACATCGTAATGTTTGGACTTGCAAAAATCTATGCATATTTGTATTCACAGCTCACATTTGTAAAGCGATATTCTGTCAGCATGATGATATTTTTGTATTGTATTTGTATCAGTTGTTATGATGAGAGAATGGAGTGTTCCGAGGTACTGGGTGTCCAGACCTGGCGCACCGACCTAGCGCATTAACTTTTTATTATATCGCAATGGTTGAAGTTACGAAAATAAATGCATTTTTATACCTATAGCTCATTTCTGTAAAGCGATGTCTTCTAAGCATAGAATCATCTTTGTATTACATTGTATTAATAGTTTTCATAGGAGTATCCCGGGTTGCTAGGGTGTCACCAAGTTGCAGATCAGCGGCTGATGTTTTTAGTATTGCTGAGCATCGACGTATTCGGCGGTCATTCCAACTCTATTGCCTGACTTTTAATCATTGCTGCTAGGGAAGGCAATCAACTGGCGTTCGCTTCTCGTAGTTAAATATCTGCTAGCGGGTGATAGTTTGCGAAGGAGCGTAAAGGAGGGATCAACACGTGCACGAGTCTTAAGCTGGAGGCGGCGGTATAAGTTTGCGGAAAGACAGGGATTTAAAGATGAAAGGGGACATATGCTTGTTTATAGCGAGCCGGGCTTGTTAGCGATGGGCGCGGGCACAAAGGAGGTGCGTATGCCAATTCATACTCTTGCTGTCGGCAAGGGCTCCTGAAACTTGGTCGTCGAGAACAATCATAATAAAAGATTATGGTTTTTTTAGCTTAAAAAGGAGATGGAGAATAAAGATGGAGACCGGAAGATAGAGATAAAGGATAGAAGATGAAAGAGATATAGAACTGAGATAGAGATGCAGAACTTGAATAAAGATGAAGAGCTTAAATAGAAATGCAAATCTTGAATGAAGATATAATACCTAGATGAAGATGAAGAACTTATTATATATATAAGTATATATATATGTTTATGTACGTATATGTATGTATTTATATATATATATATGTATATATATGTATGTATATATATATGTATATATATATATATATATATATGTATGTATGTATATAAATATATCCTTATATATATATGTATATATATAAGTATGTGTTTATATATATATGTATGTATAAATATATGTATATAAGTATATATATATATATGTGTGTATGTATATGTATGTATGTATATATGTATATATGTATGTATGTATATATGTATATGGATATATATT